TTCACTGACATAATATTTTTTGCACAAGGATTGTACAACTGTTCAAGATCATGACCTGAACACAAGCTCACTAACTGTCACAGCTCATTGTGTGCAGGAATAAGCATGACTGTGTTTTTAGACTTTTATTTTGAAATACATGTATGTTTTCTTTTCTGTTGTTCCATGCATTGTGTAATGTGGGCTCAAATTAAATCATTATATTAGTATTAGGGGTTTTGTGATATACCAGTATCGATAATTAAAAATGAAATACTGACATGTTAATTATAAACCTATAAAAATATCGTAAATCATCCAGAGCCAGTAACCGTCAGGGAAAGAAGAAGAAAGGAGACCACCATGCAGTGAAGAGCTAAGTATAGCTACTACCCCACCAGAGAGACAATGTACACTATAAAATTAAAGATGAATCTGACTGGTACCATTATTTTGTTTTTTCAAATTTTCTGTAGTTACCGTGATAATATCGTTATATTGAAAATCTTTTTTTTTTTTGGCAGCGATAATCGTGCAGTGAAAATCTGATACTGTGACAGCCCTGAAAACATAAATGTATGATGAAATATAATCATCATGAATCATTATTCTATAAAATCTGATGGGATGAGGTAATGTAGTCTGTCTTGTGGTTAAGAACTTAAAAGGACCTTAGCAATAAGTATTCTCTGGGCTATTTTTCATCTGCTTAGGTAATAATTTATTATTCACTGTTTAGTGAGGAAATTAGAGAAATCAGTGAAATGAGGTGCACCATGCATGGGCTGGCACTGCTCTGCCAGGATTTATCAGCCTAAATCTCTCTCACACAGTGAGAGAGTGAAAACTAAGGCAAATCATTTTGTGCCCAATGAAAGTTTTCCTTTGCAAATTTTGCCTTCCATTAAGAATCAAATTAAGCACTGGACCAGTGCTTTCTAGGATGCCCACCCCCTCGAGACGCACACTCTCACACACTTCCAGTTGGTGATTTATTATGTTCTCGATGTGGAAGGAAGACTTTTGTGCTGGTGAGTGAGAGGCAGCATCCTCTCCACAGTGAGTACAGTATTTACTGTGTGTGTGTGCATGTATTTGCCAGTGTCACAGAGGGGGGTGAAGCAAAGTGTGCAGCCATCATTCACTGCTGAGGGTAAGCTCTCACACATGACAGCAAGGGACCAGTGTCAAACAGGAAAGGTCACGGGCATGCAATCTGCACTCTCTTCCTGTTTACAGAGCTTAAAAAATCCTGCAGACAACCAGGTAAAATTTGACTCTGTTAAGCCAGGTTATGTGCCTGTCATGCTGTCACAGAACAATTCTAAGGTTTGGGTCATGATGAGAAGTTTACTGGCTGGAAGCTAAATGTGCAAGCTCCCTTAGCTGGATGCCTGATGCATTTTCTCTGTCCTGCTCTTCTCCCTCACTGTTACTGTCTTCACTGTTTTTCTGAACTTAGATGGACCTGATGACAGTGAAGTCTGGAGGCTGTGATTTTGAACATCTTTCAGCCTGGATACTCTCTGTGGGAGTCACCGGGCTTGAAGGTACAACCTTATTTGTCTAATGTGTGATGCACATTTGACATTGGCCTTTGTGTGTGTGTTTATTTGGACCTTATTCTTGTGTTCACAGGCCCATTAGTTAAATAGATAAAAATGCATTGTTCCTTTTTATTCTCTGTATAGCCTCAGGGGTGTTCCTCCTTGATTGCATTACAATCACAGTAAGCTTTCCCTCATTAGTGCTAAGAATGTTTTAATCTCTTATTTTAGACAAAGAGATTCATACACTCAACAGCAAACGGTTTTTGGTTAGTTTATTTTCCTGCAGTTGCTAGAATGGTGATTATTTTGGTTTTAGTTTTTTAGGGGGGATAAAATCTGCCGGATGAAGATTAGCTGTGAAGTTTTACGTGGGAAACCTTTGCACCAGCCCCTCCATTGTGGGAAAAGGGCACTGATAGGAAGGTAGATAGAGCTGATCAATAAGAAGTGCCATTTTCTCCCCAGGCCTTCTTTCATATCTCTCTCTTGTTTGTGTTTTGGAAGGGGTGGGGGTAGGGTCTGGTAAAGTGGTGGCGTGGGCGGGCTTCTGCCCCTTTATCAATCAGGATTTTAATTACACACGTCTAGGGCGACAGCTAGATTAGAAACCAATCAACGCTATCGGCCACAAAATCTAATTACTGTTTATTGACAGATAAGGGCAGGCCCCCTTCACTTTTCCAAATAAGATAAACCTCCCCCCTTGTACGCAATGAAGAGCGGCTCATACTGTCCATGAAAGCCTCTATGATAAGTAAACCCCTACCAGAGAGTTCCTCTATGCGTATGGAGATATTACCTCTGTGGACCTCTCTGTTAATGATAACACAGGATCAGTGTGAGGAAGCCAAACTACACCTCCTCTTAAAACTCTACCAAGTTTGTAATAGTAGAAGCTTTCTGCTACAGTGACAGTACTGAGATTTCTTTCCCTTAGAGCTCATGTCTATAACCTTTAACCTCATGTTTCATACACTCTAATGACTCCCTTTTTTGTTAAATGAGAGAAGTCTTAATGATGAGTAATGAGTGACCCTTAATCCCAGAGAGCACACACAGGTGAACCATCCCACACACATCTCCCCAGAGGACCATCCACTCTCACTCTCCTCAAGGTCCACCTCTTTCTGAGCTAGAAACTGCCCATACACACCTTAACGCCATTTTACAGCCTCTGTAATCGTGCAATGCACTTTGCCTATAAAGCCGAGAATCTGCCTCAGGTAAATATGGAGTAAATGATTGGATTATTGTTCTTTCATTTGGCTGTGTAGTAATGGCTGGATTATAAACATTGCACAGTATAGATTTCCTGTCAGATCCTATGAATCAGACATCCTTATCTCATTTCCAGACTGCTGCTCCACCCAGTGCTGCCATCTCCCAGCCAGGGAGTCTGGGAGAGCACGGGGAAGCCATAGACATGCATTCACACAAACATAGGCAGACAGACAACTAGACAAGCACACACAGTCTCACACACATATGGGTTAGAGGGGGAGAGACAGAGACAGGGAGAATGTTGTCACCCAGCACAGCACAGGCACTCCAAAGTCCATTCGAAGATTTCAAAAACCACTTAGGCCCCCTGTCCATATTTGTTAAGCAAGTAAATCTAAGGGCTACCACGCACTGAATTCAAAGAGAGAGGAGAGATAGCAATGTAGAAAGCACGGGAGAGAGGGGGAAAAGGGGGGAGATGTCTCCTAAATGAAATTTAGGCAAGGGTGGGATGGAGGGTGGCTGACAGCAGGTGGAGGGAGAGAGGATTCAGACCCTCTGATTTGGTTTGATCTTGCAAAGACAAATGCTTGGGTTTGAATTATGCAGCATTTCTGACTAGGACTGGAGATTGATGCCTGATCCCTCCGATGCTTGGACGTCATATCAGTAGTTCTGTCTTATGTGTTTCATGTTTGTCTCTCTCTAACTCCCTCCCTGCCTCTTCACTATATTTCTTTTCAGTGGATTACCAACACTGTAATTGGGTTAGGGTGCTGTGTGCACCAGCAACCGCTACACAAACATGCTTTTGCTAGAATCCATTGAAACCCGCAGCACAACTATGGGAGTTAAAAAACAACACATACTAAACATTTAGAATATACACCCTATACAAACTCTGTTAGCTATGTGAGCTTTTATTTAGTGCTGGAGTTTGACTTGTGTCGTGGATCCATTCCAGTGTCCAGTCATTTAGCCAGCAAAGTAGAAGCCAGAAGAGAATATGGGAGAAATGTGCTCTTACAGGCCACGGTAATGTGATCATGTGAGAAAACATCATGAAATTACATTTGATGGGGGAAAATCTGTTGAATTCTATACTCATATACATATGTTTGTGTTTTGCTTTTGTGGAGACAACCAAGTGAACGTCATACACTGGCACCAGTTCAGATCTTTGTGAACTAGAGCTGCAACTAACAATTTTTATTATCACTGAGTCTTCCAACAATATTGCTTATTACTTGTTTAGTCTAGAAAATTTCAGAAAGCAGTGACAAATGTCCATCACAATTTCCTGGAACCGAGGATGATGTTGTAAAAACGCTTTTGCCAGAGCAACACATTTGAAGCCCAAAGACTTTTTTTTTTTTTTTTTTACAATGATGTAAAACAGAGGCGGCAAATTCTCAAATGTGAGAAGCTTGAGAATGTTTTGCTTGAAAATGACTCTAAACAATTAAATATCAAAATAACTACCGATTAATTTTCAACTGATCAACTAATCAGTTGTTCGTTTCAGCTCTAGTTTGAAGTTTATTAAGTAAAAAAAAACATAGACATTGAAACTAAAACAAAGATTGAGCAACTCCATAAAATTACTCTGCTGTTTATTAGCAATGATAGCTGCTGGCAATGTCTCAGTGACTTTACATATTAGAAGCTATATTAGGATTGTTATTGTTAGCCAGTACAAATTCTTGAGTTGGGTGAGATTCACCTTTAGTTCACAGTCTGGATAATCATTCTGTTGGCTGTTGGGAGCGGCTCACCGGTTAATACACCTAACAGAGGGAACTGAACGGGGCTGCTGTTGTCGTTCCTTAGTGCTGAAGCGCTGTGCCATTACATTTATAGATTTTCTCTTTGATGGGATAATTTGGTCTTTATATCTCTCACAAATGAAGTGATCCTCGGTGCTCCTTGTGCGGCTCAGTGTGCAGGTCCCATTTTCAAATACAGTTAATTGCATTCAAAAAGAATCAATGATACTTTCACGGTGACAATATCATTCTTCTAATGTCACTTAATTTCCTCAGTGAAACGATTACATCAGTAGCCTGGAACCCATTTCTATCTTTCAGCATGAATTAATCTATTAAGAACAATAATTACACATTTGTAGTGGACAGGTTTCTGTACTGAGAAGTAAATGCAGAGTCTCCATTGTGGGCTCTGTCCTGACTGTGATTCATTCAGTTTATGAATTACACTATCACCCTGGCAAATATAAATAAATAAAGTTACCTCTGCTGCAGCTCCTTGGTGGCCTTGTTGTGAGATAGCTCTCCCTCTAGTGGAGATGATAGAGTTGGTTACTGCTGTCAGCTGGCTTTATGCTCTGTTCCACAACAGACGATGGAGAATCTGAAAAGGCCTAGCTTGACATAGGACAGGGCAG